CTGATTTTAAGGTCATACTTGTGACAAGAAAGTCAATGTATTTAATTTTATATTTAAAATGTCATTTAAGTAGATGAATTGAAGAGACATTTGTGCAGACCTTTATGCATTCAGCAGACATCTCATAATTAGACCAGGTTTTTAAAATCTGCATAAAGGATTGATTTTTTGAAATTTGATTTTAAGCACATTCTCATGATTAAATTTGTAAAAATTAGATCATTGTCTGATAATAAAAGTACCTTATATTCAACACTGCAAATTAAGTGTGAACTTACGTCCAAAAATTTTTTAAAGAGGTTTGCAGATATGTCAAGGTTCGAAGATAATGCCAACAAAATTGTGTAATACAAACCATTATCATGCCGTGGTAGTTTCTTTTTATATAAGAAAAAGTTAATGTAATCTTACGCCAGACAAAAATTAGACAAATGTAACAAATGTTTAAGACCAAGAATACTTTAGGGGACTTTAATGATATTTTAAGATGAACGATAAAACACCAGAAACTAAATAAAAGATAAAAAAAATCATTTATATAAATGTTTATTGATTTTTTGTACAAAGTAATGTCAAAGAACAACACTCAAATTAGTATTTTCGTCCAAGAATATTGAAGTAGGCATGTAGGCTCATGGGTCACTTCTAGGCAATAGTTTCCTTAAAAATCAAAATTATCAAAGAACTGTAGTGTTCCTTTTCTTTAAGGGCACATTAAGAGCAGTAACTGTCGTTACAAAAATTATATAACCAAAAGTCTTAAAAGACGTTTACTTAGAAGTTACATTCTGTTTATTATTTTGATAGGGGGAATTTTATGTGCATAAGAGTATATTTTATTTCAATTTCAACAGACAAGAAAAAAAAATTAAGAATACCATGAATCTTTTTTAAGAAATCAATCAGGGATAATTTTCTTACGCCGTGTTAAAGAAGCTAATTCTTTATATTAATACATATTTAATAGATAACGGCAAAATATACACATACTATAATTCAAAGTGCTTAACGGTGATGTTTTTAATATAATTTAAAAACAAAACAAATGACTATCTGGGTAACGGTATGATGTTATAAAAATCAGTAATTAACACTTTACAAATTGATCAATTACCCTGCAATCTCAATCTGGAGAGCTAAAATTACCTACAAATATTCTTATAAGATGTGTAAAAACACTGAATTAAAATCTATTCTGCGCTTTCCTTTCTAAAAGAAAAATAGAAAGGATTTTAAGGTAATTGCGCTCAAATTAACATGTATTTTATTTTTTCCAACTAACCGATTACAGATTTTCTAACCGATTAGCATCGTTTCGACCAATTAATCGATTAACAAGTTACAATTTGCCATCCCTAATTTCTAATATTATTTTCGTGTATCTTAATTAAACTTAAACCCTTTCTGTTACCATGATTGTTTTTTTTTCAAGTTGTATCATTATAATACAAAAGGTAATAAATGCGAGACGTGATATTGGATAAATCTCCTCTTTTAGACTGGCAGTTGGCATAAAGATACGCATAAAGTCAGATTTAAGAATTTCAAGGAGAGCCAGGAGTGCTAGTTAAAAGAAGAATATCTTTACCTGAATTACTTTATTCTTTAAAATGCAAATATTAAGGTAGAACATACACAGTGTCAAAAAAGTTTTCAGTTTTTAAAGGAGTCGATGAGATCAGACGTACTCTGATTCGAGCTGATTATTTAACAAATGATTCGCAAAAACTGTATGTAACTGAAACCAATTAATTGATATGGAACAACAAACTTTACTCTGCATACTTTTTACACTTTTTCCCCTTCCTGTAGGTAAGTACTTAACACATCTATAGTGTATATTATATTACTTAATAGAAATATATTAAATATATTATACTTCTCTACAATATATAAAATAATTCGAGGCACTTCATTCCCCTCTGGAGTTTTAGGGGGTCTGTATTAAATTTATGCATTGTTCCCAAATATTTTTGTTTGGGGTTTTGATTATGTCAAGTTTGTTACCTTTATTTTGAAATGAATACGATTTAAAAATAGTATTTAAGAGTTATTTTCTTTTAATAAAACAAGATTTCTTTTCTTTGATATTGTGCATAGATTTGATTTTTTTTTATTTAATAATATTTGGACAAAAAGCATAAGTCTAATTTCTTGTATTTATATCGCATATTAAAAGTCAGTATAAAAACCATACAATATAAAGATGACTAGAATATCCATCTAAATTTCTTTCTTTTTAGAATCGACATGCACTCTACCATTTACTGGGACTTGGGTGACCAGTAATCGTGGAACATGGACGGTATCTTCTAACTCAATTCAAAATTATAAGATGGTAGTGGATTATGGTGGTTCTCCTTTGTGGACCATGGATTGCTATTCATTTGGCAATAACTACTATGTACTCAAGTAAGTTGAATAAAATTTGAAAATATTAAATCATTAAATCTGGATAACAAATATACTTTTCATTTTAACAAGCCCTGCTGGACATAAGTGCAAGGAGGGGGTTCTATTGAACACATACTGATAATTCATAATACACCTCAAAATTTTCCCTCCCCTTAAGCTTCACACTGTCTGTTAAAAGTTTAATATTTATGATGAAAAAAGTGTCCCTGTCAAAATAATGACTTCCATATCTCTATGATCAGGGATTCTTGTGAAAAAATGGGGTTTTATATAAAAATTTAGGGGACCAACTTTGGTTTTCATAGCGCAGTTTTTCGCACATCATAGTAAAATGAAGCGTACTTAATATTTCAAATCAACATTCTTCACTTGATTAATACAGTTAAACAAACTTAAGAAACAAGAGCTTCACAAATGTAATTACAATTTTATTTAACTGATTTCTTAATCGATTTTGAAATTGATAGGTATGTTGACGTCCTTTGAGTGTGTTTTTGACGTTCCGATAAACTGAAGCTCTAAAGAAACGGATAATCAAAATATTATTAAAGAAAAAGAAATGAACATCTGCTTTTGAAATTTAAAACAAAGAAATTTAAGAATATCTCTAATATTTCTATTATGTTTTCATATAAATTTTTTGTGCTCGTTATATTTTTAGTACTCTATAACAACAGGAAAATTCGTTAACTTTTGCATTTTGAGATGCCTCCTCTGGTAACAAGAAGATATAATTTTGTGTTTCTAACATCTAATGTAGAATATAGTATTACTCATAATATGTTCTAATGTAGAATATAGCATTACTCATAATATGTTATAGTTTTAACAAAAAGTCTATTTTAGACAAATCGGATTAAATGGAGCACGTACAGTGCCCATGACTATTCAAAGAGATTGTTAGAAAGCCTGGTTCTAGAGACCATTCAATATCTTGACGATCGTATCAACTACGTCAGTGAAAAAGTCTAATTTCGATTTGATATTTCAAAATGGACCCGAGTTTACGGAAATAAGTGTCCATGACCTCATTTTTTTCAAAGACTTCTCCTCTTTTCATGTAGTTATATTTCAAGATCATTTCAATATCGTATTTATATCTTTAAATACTTGATATACTTGAGTAAAATTGTTTTTTAACCAAAGCAAACTACCGACAATAAAGTTGATCAGCAGATAATTCAATAACTTATTTTGAAGTCAGATTTTTGTAAAATCTACAATGACATTAAAACGACATTGCTGTAAATATGATTGATCGTTGTGTCGTATTTTGCCTTATTGTGCGTTTCATATATTATTTTTTAGTCATTGCTTTTATAATATTGACTACACAGTACTCTGGGCCTGATCAACACATGCCTTGCCTTTCTTGCGGCCTGTCAACAGCAGATGTTTACTACATTAAAACCCCGGTCTCACCTCTGGTTTTTAAAGGGATCTGTGATTCTACCCTGTTAACGATTTTTATTAGTTAGCTGGGTCAATTTAGTAAATATATCTTCAATTTTATCTGACAATCTACATTACAGTTCATTAGTAATTTGCATACACACAATCAAATAGCAGTTAACAGCAGTTATTTAGCATTCCCAGTTCTTTTAGCTGTTGTATAGGCCAACATATTTTAATGAGGTCTGTGAAAACAGCTGTCTGATATGAATATTGATAAGAACTGCTTCAAAAACTGCTGTAAGCTTCAATTACACGTTTTCCAGAATAACAACATGACGGCCTGCGAAGAGAAGTGGATGTAGGCGAAAGCCTGTCCACTTCCCTATAAGAGAATAGACTATGAGCTGTCTGAATGTGGCTGAAACGTAGCAGATATAGGGCATTTAATTTCTATTTAACAACAGACATATGGATACCTACTGTATATAAAATATCTGCATCTTTTGGTAGCTATAGCAATTCAATCTCAGGCTAACTGATCAGCAATCCCCCTCTCCAGTCCTAGATATTCACTTTCTTTCTCTTCAAACAATCCAACATGGAAGCCAAGGTTGAATTTTGGCGGTTTGTTGTTTAAATTTATTGATACCAAGTCCGACATTTCAAAAATTACTTTCGATCCCGATCATATTATACATAACAGCTAAGAGAAACAGAGAACTGCTGTTAACTCCAAAGAAGTTTTTTTATTACCTGTAATGAGATGAACAGCTAAAGAACAGCTTAAAATCAGCTTAAGCTTACTGCTCTTGAAACAGTTTTGAAAACAGCTATTAAATAAACAGTTGAGAACTGCTAAATAACATGTAAATTTGAAAAACTGGTAACACACTGCTATATAACAGCTAAAAACAGCAGTTCATTTTGTCTTGGGAAGGACCATCTGTTGTCTGCTAACTTGTAACTAGTCGCGAATGGAATTGATTATCACTGACCAAAAATGTTTTTTTTTTTTTTTTTTTTTTTTACCTCGGTATAAGAGTTTTTATTTAAATCATTGACAATATATTCCAAACACATATGCGACGTGTTTCAAGTCTAAAATAGGGCAATAGCATTCTTTATAAACGCATAATACTTTTAAATAAGAACTAAAAGTCTATTTCAGCATGTTTATTATCTTCACTTTTTTATTTCAAAGTTATATTTTGGAAAATGCCATTACCATAAATATTGAAATTTAAAATAGAGATTAAATTTAGCGTTCTCACATTAGACATGAAATTTCATCCCTCTACTCGCAGAGAATAATACAAAAAGTTAAAATGACATAATAAATTCATTTCAGCTAGAGATATAATGACATGTCAATAGATTGGAAAAATTTAACATTAAAAGGATGTCGTTTCTGTTGTTTCATTTACCAAGGCAAATTGGGCAAATTGGGCTAAATCAACATTAGTATTTTGACTGGTGTCGCTCATTTTTTCAACTGTCTCTCTTCCGTTAAATTCTGTGGAGCTCTGCAGAGTCTCTGGTGAAAAGATTTCTTCCTTGTTTTCCTTTGTGGAGATTTGGTGAACATTTTCATTTTGTTGATCAGGGCAATCATTTATTAATGTTATTTTATCCTTAATAGCACAACGGCCTAAAGTATTGCTAGCCTCATACCTTGATGTTTGTAAAGATAATTTTGGTTCGCCAGTCTCTTCCATCTTTCTACACACAGTGCTATCAATACAGTCTGTACAGTCCCCCTCTAAGATTTCGGAAACTTCATCCTGATCATTACTATTTACGTTTATCATATATGAGGCAATATCTTTACGTGAAATGACACAATCAATGACGTCAGAAACTTCTGAATATATGTTGTCTACGACATCAATGTTTTGTGGCATGTTTTTATTTGCGGGAGGAAATAGTATCTTGCAAAAGTTGCGTATTTCTCTTACAATGATCAGTAGAATTACAAGAGATATAAATGATCCGGTTGTATAGATAATTATTGCAATGTTAGACTTAGAAAGAGTCTTGTTACCGTTTAAAGATATCAAACTCGAGCTTTCAATTTCAAACATATCTGATGAATTTTTTGATGGCCTGGACGCCATGATAGCAGTTGCAGGTCTAATGCTAAAACTTCTTTTTCTAGAGACATCTGATTGTATATGCTCTAATAATATGAAACAGTTTTTATTCAAAATGTAAGACATAAGTACTTAAACACTTCTAAATAAATGTGGTAATCTTTAATTTAATTTAGTTCCAGTAAATGAAGTGCCGATGAAAAAGTCAAAATTTGATAAGATTACCTGTTGATAATGTACAACCATATACATGATTACAGATTGTACATTTACTGCAATTCAGACTACATAAGGTTCCAAAAGTTTGCTTAGGACAAGTTTGAGAACAATTATATCCATGGTATCCGGGTGGACATTCTGAAAAGTGTATTCAATATATTACTTCAGGAACTATACATCTTTTCTCAGGTATTGTATGAGAACAGTCTGTAGTTTTTACTATAAATGCCGTATATACGTTGTTATTTTTTTTTTACTTCATACACAAAATAATCAAGATTTAATCTTTTTTTTTTAGGTAAAACAAGTATTAAAATACAACCTTTACAGTTATTCCCATCTCTGAAATAATTATAACTGCATTTTCCTGATCCATTGACTTGGAGCCTAAAAATAGTACCAGTTTATATTTTCCTGTCATGAAACACATTTTATTTTTAAAATAGATTGAAAATACTTAAAAAAGATTTGTTACAGATTTCGGAAAATGTCTATGTCATTTCCGTCATTAAAAAAGATCAGATGACAAACAAGTGCTAAAAATCTAAATGTCATCTTTGATGAAAAGAAAACAACATAATCTTTAACTCTGCCCTCTTTTTTAATATTAAAATGCATGAACAAGTCTTATATGCACTTCCACTGTAATAAATTTGCATATCAATTAATCTTTTATTGTAAACCTTCCTGAATATAGAACAAAGTTTCATCTAAAAAAATATTTACTTCCTTTTCCGACTTCTCAAAATATATCGTAAATTTGTTTTATAATTAAAGGGTTTTTTTAAATATAACATTTCGTTAAAGGTTGTTTCTTGTGCAATCTGATTTATCCAATGGTGTTTGTACAAAACCAATGATATATAAGAGATAAATTCTTTAAATACTTTAACATCCGTGAAGCTAACAACTGTAACATTGTGTTGATCATTCATATCTTTATCCGTGCATATTCTCTGTTTTCTCTCACTATGAACCCACACTAACCACTTATTTTCATACGACTATAGACGCATCTTTTTATGCTATGAATGCAATATCTATCCCAATGTGTATTTCATATTTTTTTCATTTGTATTTGATAATTTTCCTATGTTATCAATATTTTTCAATATGTAATGTATAACTTTTCATCTGTATTAAATTATTGGTCATAAATATTTTATAATTTTCATTTGCTTTGCATCAAATGAATGAATCAAAGATTATATAGATTTACAATTCATATGACAAAATACATGTATATAACTACACACAATAAAATATATACAGAATGTGAAAAGCATTATAAAAAGACATACAAATGAAAATTCTTTAGAAAAAAAAAACAAAATTATGAGATGAAATAAATTAAAATCAAACAATACAAAGGGAAAATATGTACAATGTAGAAAAAATTGGAATACAAATAGAACGTTAGTATGTAATACAGATGAATTTATAGACTACTTATGAAAAATAATAGAATACAAACAATATATCATTCCTTGCAAATGGGAAAGATTAAAGAAAAAAGCAACGAGTGACATGCCTTAAATTCCAAAGAAACAATATGCAGACGCAAAAATATCAATTCAAAACAAAATTCATCCTTAAAACGTTTCGACCAAGATACATGGAACAACATCCCATTAGCGTGTAAAACACTTTTAAGTTTTTATTTGGAATTTTCTTGCATGCTCAAGGTATGTAAAACATATTGATGCTCTGTTTAATGACGTTTCCATTCTTGATTTGGTTTTAGGGCCACTCGCAATGTAGTAGTAATTTACATTTATATAAATAAATGCATTGTTTGACAATCTTGATTTGTTATTGTAGTTTAAACACCACTGGATGGCAGCAGTTTTTTTTTACTGCGAATTTCACCGCTAGGTGGCAGCATTAATCAAAACAATTCTAACTGATGTTGAGAAAGATTGTCAAGTCTTTAAATAGGAAAAGAAGATGGGTAACGGATAACTTTAAGGAGAAAGTCAAGGCAATGTTGAAAGAGATGGTGACAGAAGCTATTCCTTCAAAACCGAGCAAGTTTGTGGCACAACTACAAGAAATTATTAACCCATCCAACACCTTGTCATAAACTGCATCTTCATGCGGAAATATCATCCCTCACCTTTAATTTTCAGAGCCGCAATTTGAACTCTTATATAAATATTGCATGTAGTTGAGTGTAACATTGAAAATTTTCACCTCAAGGAAATCCTTGTCAGCTGAGGTGCAGCCGAGGTTGACAATGGTTTTCGCGGGGTGAAAATTTTCAATGTTACACTCAACTACATGCAATATTTATTATATTATACTGAATGTTTTATACAAATACATTTAACATTGAACTTTGCGCGCATAAATTATGCGCAGTCGCTACCTTTTGGAATATCACCCGTCGTCTAGCAATGTTGACTGTTGGTACGCTGGAGGACGCGGCTACCTTATTCAGCTGGTAATAGTGTTTTTTAACAAATATTTCTCGACCAATCAGATTCAACTAATTTACATGAAAGTATAATATAAGTAATTAGCATATGTTTTGTTATTACTTTTTAATATTGTAGATATGTTATTCATATGATAAAGTTGATAGTCATTTTGCTAAAATAAATGACATTTTCGGATTCAAATATGTTTTTAGTTTAATAAATTGAAAATCAAACAGAGTAGAATCATTCAGAAGAAAAGAGTTGAAAAAAATGTCTTACTCATTTTGGTAACTCTCTACGCCATTTCTTTTGAGCCAAAAGGACAAAATACAAGAAACACACGCAAAACATCTTGCATCTATTGGCATGCTTGAGGGCAGGATCATGATTAAAGCATTCATTTAACAAAATCCACAAAATGCATCAACAGTTGATTAATTGTGTGTGTAAAAATTGGGCATGTTAGTTACATATAATATTTTGTCGTTAAATTTCCTGAATACATGCATAATAGAGTTTCATTAAAATCAATGATAAACTTCCTTTTATGACTTAAAATATCACAAAACTTTATAATATTTTAAAAACATTTTGGAAAATGTTTTTAAACGTTTTCACGCGTATTTTGTTCCTTTTATCGATAGCGTTTTAAAATTTCATGTGGAATTTAATTCTGTTGGTTGATAACTAAAAAAGATTTAAAACGGGTAGTTTTATTTGCTATTTGATATCATAAATATTTTTGCCTTCAATAAATATATTCATATTTGCAAAAATATTTCTTTACAATAAAAACCTACAAAAGAACGAAGTTCCGAGAAATATTTTTGTCTAAAGGACTTTGTTGTATAAATATATTTTTTAATATTAAATATTTTGGGAAAACTGAAATGTATCCATGTACAATTATAATTCTTAATATGCTAAGTTTTATATCAAGTCAATAGACAACACAACTCTTTAAAGAAATTAAATGATTTGTCAATAGGTAGGGGAAACATGTCATCAAAAAGACGTCTCTGTTGTTTCATTTACCAATAATAATTTGGCAAATGTTTGGTTAGTATCCTGACTTGAGTCGCTATCCCTAGTTCCGTGGATTCTGCACAGACTCAGCAGAAAAGGTTTCTTTGTTGGTTTCCTTTGTGGAGATTTGATGAAAAGTAGTTTCATTTTGTTGATTATCATTTTTGATCAGTTTCTCTTTATTATTACAAAGGTCTAAAGTATTGTCGGCTTCAAACATAGATGTTTGTAAAGATGATGTTTGCCTGGTATCAGGTAAACATGTTTTTCACCCAAAAGAGAAAGAAATTCAATAAAATGTCAGTAGGTGGGGAACATGTCTTCAAAAAGATGTCGTCTCTGTTGTTTCAATTACCAATACAAATTGTCCAAAAGTTAGACTAGTATCCTGAATGGTGTCGCTCATAGCCATCTCTATTTCTCTTCTGTTAAATTCTGTGGAGCTCTGCAAACACTCTGGAGAAAAGAATTCTTTGTTGTTTACCTTTGTGGGGATTTGATGAAAATTTCATTTTGTTGGTCAGGGCAATCATTTATAAATGTTGTTTTATCCTTATTAGTACAAAGGCCTAACGCATTGCTGGCCTCAGAACCAGATGTTTGTAAAGATAATTTTGTGTCTCCAGTCTCTTCATTCTCTTTGTACACAGTGCTATAAATACAGTCTTTACAGTCACCCACTACGATTTCGGAAACGCCGTCCTGATTATTACACTGTCATTTAACATAGATGAGTCAATTTCTTCACGTGAAATGACCCGATCAATGGCATCAGAAACCTTAGAATATATGTTGTCTACGAAACTGTTGTGTGACTTGTTTTTAATTGTAGGAGGAGCCGATATCTTGCAAAAGTTTCGTATTTCTCTCACAGTTAGACAGGTTAAGCCTTTGACCGTTTACGTCTACTTGTACGTATAAACCTAGAAGTGATTTTACACGTACGCATAACTATCGTCGTGTTCTGTTTAACAGACTGCACCTGTACCGGTACGTGTAAAACGTCATTTCAGCAAGCCACTTTACAATGTATTTGTATCAAATAAATCCATGCCTTGAAATAAAAAAGAAGCATTTGATGCACGTTATAAATTCTCAACTTCATACCAAACACCGATTGAAAAATATATATTCTGTATTTTGAGTTTAAAAAGTACAAATTGTCACCTTCGTGTACTTGCAAATCTACACGTTGTGTACAACTTGTAGAATTACGCGGTATGCAAAACTGATGACGTAAATCGCATTAAATTAGGTGATTTCCCTAGCTACACGTAGACGTACACGGTCATCTGCTTTACCTCTCTAATAATATCAGCAGAATTACGAAAGATATAGGTAATCCGCTTGTATAGATAATTGCAATATTAAATTTAGGAGTACTATTTAAAAACACTAGACTAGATCTTTCATTTTCAGTCTTGTTACGACCTATAGATACTTTGATGGGACTTTGATTTTCAGGTACACTTGATGTATGGACTGATGGCATGGTCGACATGATAGCAGTTGTAGGTCTAGTGCTAGAACTTCCTTTTCTTGAGACATCTGATATAATAGGCTCTAATGATATGAATCAGTGTGTATCAAAAAATGTACGTCATAAGTACTGTACTAAAACGTTTCTTAATAAATGAATTACTAATTCACCTTATCAAGTAGTTGCAAAAAATATACAATTCTTGATATGATTACCTGCTAGTAGTGTACAACCATATATATATATATATATATATATATATATATACATAGTTACAGTTCGTACAGTATCTGCATTTCAGACTACATAAGTCTCCATAATATGGTTCAGGACAAATTTCAGAACAACTAAATCCGAAGTATCCGGGTGGACATTCTGAAAGGTATACTGCTTCTTAATTTTAGGAACATACAATGGTTGGGAACAATTTTTCGATTTTTACTATGAAATCGTAACATACGTTGCATATTTTAAATTCCTGGTAAAATAATTCAGATTTGATAATTCTTTAACTAAATCGGTAGTGCATACAACCTTTACAGATATCCCCATCCTTGTAAAAGTTCATACAGCACGATCCATCTTCTTTAAGTCTAAAATATTCTTTGATAGTACTCTCCTTTTATGAAACAATTCAATTTTAGAATAAATTGAAATATAAATGTAATACTTACGAATCTTGGCAACTTTCTATTTCGAATTGAGCAGATGGAGATCATATGACAGACAAGTACAAAATATCTTGTCACTCTTGATCTTAAAGTGCCCGAAAGGCTGTTAAATCCAGTACTAAATGTTTGTATGTCAATCAACAGTTTATAGACAAATTTCCTGAAAATTAAGGATTAAATTTTGATATAAATTAATGATTATCTTCTTTTTACGACTTGCCGTCACGCACGTGGTACATATCGTTAGATTGTCTGCTCTAGAGTTGCGGAGTAAGGAGTTGATCTTTATGTCGTGGGTTCGAATTCGACCGTGAAACGTGGAGGCCGGTCTTTGGAGTTAGTGCTTGCACGAAAAAGATCCCTCCATACTTAATGGTCGTAAGTGCCGAGTCCAGATCAAAGTTTGCAGCTCTCAATCGGCAAATGAAAGTGGTGGCATCATTATCATGAGTGAAAATCTCGAGAGGGACATTTAACAACAAACATAATTCATAAAGGCAAAATGTTTTTCAAAGAAATGATGAAGTGTCTCTGAAGAAGTTGTTACATGCACCTTTTTTATTTAACCAATTATATTTAATCAACTCCAAGCTATTATTAAAACACAAAGGAAATTGATACTAGGGATACTTTGAACATCCATGAATTAAAAAACATAACAACAGTAAGCAAAAAAGAAAGACATACTATTCATTTTGGCATAGAAATATTCTGACTAACATGCACTACTGGCTTTTAAAACCCCTGTCCGTATGAAAATCCACTGTCTTTCTCTGTATCCTACAGCATTTTCACAGTAATCTACGGTATATCTACAGTATGCTACGGTATGCTAGCTCTGTATGTACAGTAAATCTCTGTATGCCACTGTATGTATCCCCAGCATGCCACAGTTACATACAGTAGACCCCGATACACCTACAGTATGCCACTGTATGGCTACTGTTTCCTACAGACAACTACGGTAAACCCCAGTATATGCCCCAGTACGCCCCTGTATATGTTCATTGAAGCAAAAAGAAGAAGTTTACAAACTTCCAGAGCATTGTACGGTTACCTAAGATGTGGGATTATCAATTTAGTACACAGAGTTACTTACCTAAGAAATTTTTGAACATTATTTTAAACACATAGTAGTATTTTTTTTTAATTTGTTATGAGACTTATTGTGTTCTTTTATAACTCTGAAAAAACTATTAAAAATTAATTAATCTTTGCTTCAAAGATTATTTATCTATCAATTTTTAGAATTAATTATTTAATTATTCTTTGGTTTGATTTATTAGTTAATTAATTAATTTATTTATTTTGCGAACACTTATTTAATCCTTAAAATACTTTGAGTGACTTTGTAACTTTTGTGAAAAAAAAACCACAGCTGGGGTAATTCTTGTTTTATTTTTAACTTATTGATGTTCTTTTAAAAAAGAATTAATCTTATTAATTGCATGTAATCAATCATTGCATAAAAACTTTTTTCTTATTTCTAAATTGAATATACAAACAAAATTATTAATTTTATACCCGAAAGTTGGATTTATTTGGCTAATTTTATGTAAACAATTTTACCCTAAAATGTGTTTCAAAGTCTTTTTGAAGCATATTTAAACTACTTTTAATTATTTTATTTCCGTGTTGGATATCAAAATAATCGTCTCATTATGCACAATCTTAACCCATCAATAGCTTTTTTGATACTTTTATTTTGTTTTGATTGAAAAAATTCGGTTCTCTCACAAAGAGAAAATGTTATTTCAAACAGCCTCAGATAGGACACGGTCGGTCTCTGTCACAAAATAAACAAGGTATAGAGGTCAGTGAAAAAGACAATAGGTGTCATTACTGTGTACCCAGAGTCACTTGTAAACAATCAATGGCTTTGAAGTTATTTCATAATCGTGTTAGGGTTTTGAAAACCGATTTTTTTTTCAATCAAAACAGAGTAAAAATATGAAATTGCAATTGACAAATAAAAATTGTGCATAATCTGACGATTATTTTGATATCCATCATGGACGTAAAATAACTGAAATCTGTTTTGATATGCTTAAAAAATACTTTGTAACATAGTTTAGGATAAAAATATTTATACAAAAAACTCTTACAAATCTCATTCTCGGGGATATAAATAATTGATTATTTTGTTGTTTTGTCAATTTAAAAAATATAATTAAAGAGTTTGACATTTCTATGGTGATAAATTAATTATTTATTTTATTTATTTACAATTTATTTATTTTTCTAACACCTGTTTAATCCATAAAATAATTGGAATGGCTTTTTTGTACCTGTTGGAAAAAAATTACACACAAACACCTACACAACAAGAGTAATGCTGCATTTAAAAAAAATAGTTTTTAAAATCAATTCAATAATTGATTTTTAAATGGTTAGTGAATAAATAAGTAAAACAGATTTAAAACACGTATTTAAAAAATCATTGTAAAAAGAACAATACATTTATCTATTTATTTTTTTTTTAAAATTAATTACAATCCCGAAAGTTGGATTTATTTGGCTTATTTAATGTAAACAAGTTTCCGCTAAAATGTCTCTCAAAGTCTTTTTGAAGCATATTTATACTACTTTTAATTATCTTACTTCCGTGTTGGATATCAAAATAATCGTCTCATTATGCACAATATTAACCCGTCAATAGCTTTTTTGATACTTTTATTTTGTTTTGATTGAAAAAATTCGGTTCTCTCACAAAGAGAAAATGTTATTTCAAACAGTCTCAGATAGAACAGGGTCGCTCTCTGTCACAAAATAAACAAGGTATAGAGGTCAGTGAAAAAGACAATAGGTGTCATTACTGTGTACCCAGAGTCACTTGTAAACAATCATAATCGTGTTAGGGTTTTGAAAACCGATTTTTTTTCAATCAAAACAAAGTAAAAATATAAAATTCCAATTGACAAATAAAAATTGTGCATAATATGACGATTATTTTGATATCTATCATGGACGTGAAATAACTGAAATTTGTTTTAATATGCTTAAAAAATACTTTGTAACATTAGTTTAGGATAAAAATATTAATACAAAAAACCCTAAAAAAAAATCTCATTTTCGGGGATATAAATAATTGATTATTTTGTTGTTTTGTCAATTTAAAAAATATAATTAAAGAGTTTGACATTTCTATGGTGATAAATTAATTATTTATTTTATTTATTTACCATTTTTTTTATTTTTCTAACACCTGTTTAATCCATAAAATAATTGGAATGGCTTTTTTGTTCCTTTTGGAAAAAAAATTACACAAACAAACACCTACACAACAAGAGTAAGCTGCATTTAAAAAAATAGTTTTTAAAATCAATTCAATAATTGATTTTTAAATGGTTAGTGAATAAATAAATAAAACTGATTTAAAGCACGTATTTTATCATTGTAAAAAGAACAATATATTTATCTATTTGATTTTGAATTTGACGATACAAACAAATTAATTAATTATAATACTGAAAGTTGGATTTATTTGGCTTATTCAATGTAAACAAGTTTCCGCTAAAATGTCTCTCAAAGTCTTTTTGAAGCATATTTATACTACTTTTAATTATTTTACTTCCGTGTTGGATATCAAAATAATCGTCTCATTATGCACAATCTTAACCCGTCAATAGCTTTTTGATACTTTTATTTTGTTTTGTTTTGTTTGACAAAAAACGGTTTTCTCACAAAGAGAAAATGTTATTTCAAACAGCTGCAGAGTGGTTACAGTCGCTCTCTGCGACAAAATAAACAAAGTATAATGGTCAGTGAAAAAGACAATAGGTGTCATTACTGTGTCCCCCATGTCACTTGTAAACAATCAATGGCTTTGAAGTTCTTTCATAATCGTGTTACGGTTTTGAAAACCGATTTTTTTTCAATCAAAACAAAGTAAAAATATGAAATTGCAATTGACAAATTAAAATTGTGCATAATCTGTGCATAATCTGACGATTATTTTGATATCCATCATGGACGAAAAATTATTGAAATTTGTTTTAATATGCTTAAAAAATACTTTGTACATGTAGCATATAAAAATAAAACTTAAAAAATCAATTGGGGGTGGGGGTGTATATTTAATCACTGTTGTCTTGTCAATTACAAAAATAAATAAATTATTTTTTATTTTTTTTTTGTTTATTTATGTATTTGTAGATAAATTGATAAACAGATTAAATAAATAAGATAAATAATTAGTTCATTTATTAATTCTGTATTTTTAAAGTCATTTATTCTATTTAATTTTCACTTACCACTTCACCTTATTTATTTTGTGCCGTGTCTACTATGCAGCTCTGCATTTGTCAAGAAATAGATTGATTTATTTTCAAAATGATTAATTTCATGCTG